CCCCTCCCTCTCCCCCTCCCCCTCTCCCTCCCCTTCTAGCATCCTATAGGTCTCCCTAACAATTTGCTGCTATTTATTTAATACTGCTTAATGGAAAGAGAAACCGAAATTGGAGCACAGCGCATGAGTGATACTTGTCAAAGTTCGAACTGAACCCGGACCGATTTTGTATCCAACGCGCTTGCGAACCCTCAGGCGTATACCGAAAAACGAACTCAGCCAGGAGAATAATTCATTTGCTGTATTTTAATTTTTTAAACATTTGTACCGTTTTTTCTTCTTAACAGATGTGCATTGACGAAAATCGCTCTGATAAAGTACTTTTTCCAACATTCGCTCGGACAGTTCCGCCAATTAGCAGACTTTCTCCGCCGCTACTCGCACTAATGGAGCATTTTAGATGGACTCGCGTTGGAATAATCGCTCAAACCAATCACCGATGGTCTCATTGGAAAGCGTTGGAGAGCGACCTGAGAAACGGGGGCTTGGCAGTGGGCATCAATCTGACCCTGACGATGGGTGTCCATTTCAACGTCTCCAGTTTGTTACCCGAATTTGAAGAACTTTTTGAGACAGTGGCGAAACAGTCTCGAAGTAAGCTTTACTTGTACTGATAGGAAGAAAAGTGCCGTTGTTATTGAAGTATTTTGACCTCCTCTAGACCATTTAGCAACAAAATATTCGCAATTAAACATGAACTTTTATAAACTTCCTCTTGAGTCAACCCTTATAAGCTTTTATAAAAGGTTCTTTGACTTAAATTCATTATCTAACTGCTAGCTTATAATCACGTCCTTTTTCGCTCCACAGTCATCATTTTAGCTATGGATTACGCCTATGCCCGCCAAGCTCTGAATTACGCCGGAAAAATTGGTTTAAATGACGGTCGCTTTGCATTCATCATGTTTGAGCTGGATTTAGACTTTACTGGGAACAAGACGGGTAATTTGTCAAAATCATGGGAAAGTGATTCAAAAAACACAACTGGGACAGTCTTTGAATCAGCTCTGTTAATCTCTTTGAACAACAACGTAAGCAAGGAATACTTGGCCTTCGCAGACGATGTGAAAAAGAAAAGTTCAAAATTCCCATTTGACAGCCCTGCGTCTTCAGGGAACATGGTGAGAGTAGGATGTTCAATTTTGTTATTTACTCTCTCGCTCATTCATTCATTCACTTAATCAAGTTATGATTCAGGGCGATCAGGATTACTATGATTTCAGGATTGCTTTAGTATTAGCTCAGTTATACAGTTACAGCCATATTTACTCTTACAAAACAACCATAACCAATTGGCAATAGACAGAACATATAAATTAATCTACAGAACAGCTACATCTGTTACAAGTATTTCTGTTACAGGTTAGTTACGAGCTTAGTGGCCAATTACCGTCGAGGCAGTTTATCTGGGAGCCACAATCTTATAACTATCGGATAACATGCGTCGACTTTCAAAATAAATCATAATTGCAATGTAATACTATACCTCGTTTTCTGATAACACTTGACCGTCCTTTCACAAAAATTTCTTTCAACATCCTTTTAACTTCATTTACAGCCTCCTATACAAGCAGCCTACCTGTATGACGCAGTTTTTCAGTACGCCGTTGCCTTGAATAAAACTTTAACCAATGGAGGAAAAATTTCAGATGGCCAGAAAATTATAAAGGAGATGCTTGGACAACAATTTGGAAGTAAGTACACCAGGGAAACATCTTAAAGACCAAAGAGAGTTTGACATAAACATGAAACTGAAGAGACGTATTGTAGCTGTGCGATAAGTGTTCCATAAGCTGGGATGCTTAATACGTAATCATGAGAGACCAATCGTTTTTCATCGCTAGGGGGACTAGCCGTCGTCAACAGAGTATTAACCCTTTAACTCCTAAGATCTCATTAGTAATTCTCTTTACTGTCTGCCATACAATTCTTATGATGTCAGTTTGGAGAATTTGTTATTAGATCAATTAATAATCCCCTACTTGATATTTTACTTTATTCTCATCACTTTTATGCTTGATATTGTATTG